TCTATTAAAAATACAATTTCATCATTACCCTATGATCAATGAGGCATACTAGATGAATCTTACTTTGGGAATAAACCCATCCTCTACATACCCCCACAGATTGGTGTTTCTGCCCAGTTAAAAAGGCAGAACATTCAATATGGATAACATAATTTTCTTTGACACAAATAATGCAATACACTTTAACCCCTTAAGGACACATGACGGAAATATTCTGTCATGATTCCATTTTATTTCAGAAGTTGTGTCCTTAAGGGGTTAAAAGTAAAGTTAACTCTGAGCTGGAAAATAGCTGGACAATACTCCCCTGTGAGAGGTAGCGGGAGTACTCCTTTATAAGGGAGAGTCTTCTTGTCCATGTATATTTTTTCTCAGTGAAAGAATCACATTCAGGATTAGTCAGTTTGCAAAAGGAAACATGGATCCACGATTTGAATAGCAGAAGTTTGTGGGGCCCCTTTTACGTGAAATGTAACAAGTGGTTTTCTCAAAGTCTCATATTATTATCAAATAATGTCCAGGAGTGATAGCATGCAGTGAATTTATTCTTGCCGGCTTTATAGCATTTTACCTGTCGTAAATACACTAAATGCTTTTGCTAATGACATGCAAATATTCTTAACTTTACTATTTAAACTCAGAAACAATAGACATTAACAAGGAAGGACCACAGAACACACCAATTCATGAAAACCCATAGAACTTAAACTCAGCAATCATTGTAATATCAAACCTGTTGTCATGTGACAAAACAGAACACAGGTCCGAAGGACCAGACGTAGTAAATACACATAATAGATACCCAGCAAATATGGGCACGCAACTAAACCATAACCATTCCAAAATAAATTAACAAATTTCACACTCTGTTTCCCTTAGAATAAACACAGTTTGACACAATGTAGTTCCTATGCTAGTGATAGATTACAACTGTAGTCTTAAACTAACACTTCCAATTAAATATGCAACACCATTCTCATACCTATGTATAAAAAGCCTTTTTTTACAAAAACAACAAAAATATCTGCAAACTGTTTGACTACTACAGAAGCAGACAACCAGCACTAAAGATATTTTCATAATTTGTTTTTGCAGACCCAGAAGAGGATAGATCGCAAGACTTGGCAAATGAACATGAGCATGAAAAAGGGCATTCATTCTCGGGACAAGAATATAATTTTGCCTCTTTATAAATCACTGGTAAGACCCCATATTGAATATGCTGTGCAATTTTGGGCACCTGTTCTAAAGAAGGATATTATGGCACTAGAAAAAGTGCAGAGGCGGGCTACAAAATTAATAAAAGGAATGGAACATATCAGCTATGAAGAAAGGTTAACAAATTTAAACCTATTTAGTTTAGAAAAACGTTGCCTGAGAGGGGATATGATAACATTATACAAATATATTCGGGGCCAATACAAACCATTGTGTGGAAATCTATTCACAAACCGGACTTTACATAGGACACGAGGTCATGCGTTTAGACTGGAAGAAAGAAGATTTCGTCTAAGGCAAAGGAAAGGTTTTTTACTGTAAGAACAATCAGGATGTGGAATTCTCTGCCTGAAGAAGTGGTTTTATCAGAGTCCATACAGATGTTCAAATGGCTACTAGATGCATACTTGCAAGAACAGAATATTCAAGGATATAATCTTTCAATGTAGGGTAATAACTGCTTGATCCAAGGATAAATCTGACTGCCATTCTGGGGTCAAGAAGGATTTTTTTTCCTAGCTTGTTGCAAAATTGTGCTTCAAACTGGGTTTTTTTGCTTTCTTTTGGATCAACAGCAAATAACAAATGTGAGGTAGGCTGAACTTGATGGACGCAAGTCTCTTTTCAGCTATGTAACTATGTAACTATGAACAGGAACGTTGAATAAAACAGGAAGTCAATTATTGCAACAGCAATACATTAGACTAACACTGTAGAACAGACCGCAAAATTAGAGCTGTTAGACCTACTCAAACTCTCACTGCTCTTGGACAGAAGCAATAACGCAGCATTCAACAGCCACCAAAACAGTAATTTAATAGGTTATTAGGCTGGCATTTCCATCTGTATCAATAGACTGGGACAAACTGATTCAAATATGTTTTAAAACAACACAGTAAAATACCAATTTAATCTACATGCTTGTTAACCTGCACACTTCATAATGGGTATTCAAAACACATATTAACACAGGCACCAATTACACAGAATAAACTCATAACATCTGTATTCAGAACATATTATTGACAGGTATACCAATTTTAATTTGTATCAGATTTATTCTAGGGTTATTGTATACATGTATTTCCTTAAATACCATATTACTTAATCTACCATAGTATTGTTTATAAAGAAGGGATCCCTTTATATAGCGCTCTAGTCTTACATATTCGTGTGAAACTTGCATTAACTTATTGCAAGATCTGTACTCTCTCAATAAAATTTCTCTCTGAGATGATGCTACATTATCATAAATCTTATAGAAATTGAGCAAATATTTGGACCAGATTACACAGACATGGTGTCACCTGAATCTCTCAGAATTCTCAGAGACTCAAAATTATTATGCTAGACCATGTTAGGCATGGCAAACCTTTTTGGATTGATCCAGTTGAGTGTTTAAGAGCCACAGAGTAATGTATAATCAACCTTTGTCCATGATATTCTAATCAAGTCTGCATACCTGACCAAAACTCAAACCCAACACACAGGTTTGTGGTCACAAGACTAAAATCTCAGCATCCCGGTATAACAATTTGTAGATTTTCACAATTTTAAAGAACACATATAATGTTAGACATATTAGTCAGAATAGGGAGCTTTTTCCTCAAAGATTAATCTACAGAGAATCATAAAGCATATTCAGCAAGTGATGCTCTGCATCCTTTAAAGTACCTGTAGCAAGGAAAAGTTAGCTTACAGCACAAAATGAAGCATGTGTTGGACCGCTGAAAAAGTAGATGTGGCTCTCTAATTTACAAACAAATATATTTACAGTATGGATCCTCTGCAAGAAACACCCAGCGCAGGGAAAATGTGGTGCTTGATGTTTTACACAGTTAATCCCGTATGGGGACTTAACTTTCAAATAGTAATGAAGTGAATTTGTCCCAGTTTGAAAATACTAGGCTCATCATTCAGACAATGCAACACAATCCCAATATCCCACTTTCATGGAAAGTGTAGTGGGCTTATAGTATAGACATAACAATCATACCAGGCATATAGATCCCATGTGAAATAATACATAACAATATAAACAGAAAAACAAACTCATACTTTATGAAAAAGGAGACTGGAGAAATAGTTAGAGATATAATGATAAATGGGATTAGAGGGCTGCATCCTTAAATACCAAAAAAAAAAACCTTATGGGGAAACATATATAGAACACCACCCACACATAACCATCAACATATATATATATAGATATATATTGGAAAAGAACAGTAAAACTATCATTCCCTATACACTCCCTCCTCCACCAGAGTCCTCTCCTTCACCATACCAGAGACTTCAGTAGACTGCTCGCCTACTGAGAGTGATAGGGAGAACCTGGCAGACTTCATAAATTCCTTCCATATCTGTGGGCCAAGGGTGCCCTCTGAGGGCATGCCAGCTTTCTTGAGTAATTTCTTTATTGCCTTCCTTTAAGATGATTAACGATAGTTAGAGCTGTAAACTCCTCCTCCTGGGTCATTTTTATGAGTTACCCTTCTCTAACATGTAAGGGGTAATTACTTCCTTAACCAAGACAAGACTATACAAACAGTGTTTAAACACTTAGGACCACTGCAGTGGAATTTTCACAGTCTTTGTCTTCTTTATATAAACACAGATCAAAGATCTGACTTGGAGGATTCTTACTCTAACTATAAAACGATAAAGCAAATGACAAGGCAAACAAAGTTAAGACCCACAGATATATTCTATTATCTCAAGATTCCAAGATTTCTTTCACAAGACATTCCACCTGAACATAACCAACCACAGAAAACAAGTTCTTTAGAAGGATACCTATTTAAATCCATACTCACCCAGACTTAGGACTCAGAGAGTTCAATAGAGAGTGAATCTAGATAGGTAGAAAACATTTTTCTTACTGCTGCAGCTTAAGAGTCACTGTCTACAACCCTCGGTTTCCCAGTATTTTGTCTGGATGTAATGGATTGTTTCCTCCTGGGTTTCAGCACCAATTGTTAAGGATATTCATTTACCCGGAGACATGTTCAGGTGGAAACCAAATTGACACTTTAAATTACGAGCTGCTCAGAGAAAGTAATCAGACCAGACAGTTTTTGATTCAAAGATTACTTCCTTATTTTATTGTGTAAGCTTACAGATTATATAGTACTTTGTAAAGACAACTTTGTGATTTGCGTGCCAAAAACCAGATGGGTGAAGTCACACTACCATAAAAGGGAAATTAAAGTACTAAGCATATTTCAATGGTTATTTATATATATATATATATATATATATATATATAAAAACATTAGGACATCAGAGGGGGGTTAATGGGGGAAGCTGCAATTGTCTCCTCAGAAACCATAGAATGTCACAAGTCATGATTTTATGCTTATTTGTGCTTATTTGTCAGACACTCGAAACTAGACTAAAGATTAAAAGCAGAACACAAGAAGTAAAGACTGGACATCTGGTCATCTTAAAAGCTTGAGCCTGGGGTCAAGGTATCTTCCATCCATGATTCCAGTACAACTGCAAGCATGGCTTTCCTGCCCAAAATAGTTCCACAGCTTTTGGCTGTGCAGCCAGTCTATTTCCAATAGTTAAGTTCCGTTCAAATGCATGAACAGGGCCGTTTATGCAAATAGCCAAAGTCAAAGTGGCGTTCAAATTTGTCGAACGCTGTTCGATTCCTGTCGAAGTGTCAAAGTTCTGGAAAAGGTAAAGGTCAGCGATGTTCATGCCGTCGCATGTCTTATTTGAGTTCCATGAACTCGACAATCAAACACCGCTGAACGCGTTTCACTAAACAAGATGGCCTGCCGCCACGTGTACGACCATATGAACGGCGACCACCCAGCCGTTCATCAATTAGCTGCGGTTAACCACAGCTCCTTGGAGGTAAATGAGGGACACTCCACTGGCTGGTGGTCTGGCTGTTCGACAGTTTGTTCGGCAACCCCAAATACCGAACCATAGCAGGGGAAAGGCATGAACAAGCCTTTCCATAGCCCTAAGACCCATGTTAACATATGGGCCATAGTCCTGGGGTAAAAGGCTGGAAAGCAGGCTTCTCCAAACACCAGTGATGAAGGTGCTTTTCTCACAGTTAGTAACAAAGCAGGTTGGTTGTGTAGATTAGGTTGGGATTAAGAAGCTTGTTGGTAACAAAGCAGGTTGGTAATGTAGCTCAGGTTGGTATAAAGCAGGTTGTTAATATGAAGTAAATTGGTAACAAAGCAGGTTGGTAATGTAGATCAGGTTGGTATATAGTAGCCAGGATCAGAAGTCTTTCAGGTAGACCATCAACTTCAATGTAAAGGCCCCGTATTGAGCTGGGTGTGGCCTTTTGTACGAGAAGTAATCAGCCCAGGCAGGTGAGGTAGAGTGAAATAAAGTTCAGTCCTAATGGTTAGGGAGGCCACCAGTGGCAAATCTTAGTTACTGCTGGAACAAAATTGAATTAAATGAATAAAGTTCTGAAATTAGGATTTGGAATTTGAGATTATATTCCTCATTGTGGATTTTAATGCTCATAATTCTCATCTCCTTCTGGATCTTCTGGAGGGAACAGGCCCCCCTTTAGAATGGAGTTAAAAAGGCTACTTGTGTGGAAGTAATATGGCAGAATACCTCCTGAAGTATAGGCCCAAGAACCCACCCGTGCCTAGGTATTTGTTAGGTTTAGTGTTTTCAGTGGTCATAGGGGTGTTGTGGAAAACAGAGGCAATTTTATGTGGGATATCATGAACCTGACCATCCGGTGCCATCATTTTGGTAATATGTTTATTATGTATCCTTTGGCGCAGTCTTTGAGCCAAAAGAGTGTTGGCTTTGTTAGTTTTTTCAGAGAACAATTGTCTTGTCCATTGAAGATCTTTTTTGGCGTCTTGTGAGAGAATGTTTTGTATAGCCACTGTGTGTCTGGAGTTAGGTCGCGAATCTGCGGTATGGTCACATTTGTGTTTGAGCTCCAGGGAACTGACCACCAAATATTGTTATTTGAGGATTGTGAGTTGTTGTTTTTTGTTGGCAGACGTCGTCACTCTCATTTTGCCCCTAATGCTCTAAGAAGTGCCGGTAGTTGAAACCGATCTTTTGTTGATGGTGAAATAATCAGTGATATTTTATAATTCTCAGATTGCTTCCCTAATTTGTGGGATGAGGATATGGGTAGGATTCAATCTCCAAGACCATTATTTGGTCGTTTGTTGTATTGAAATGGTAAGTAAAATGTCAGTGTTGTCTGACCACGTGATCAAGCCAATCGACAATTTGGTGACTTGGGATAACAAACAGGGTGAGATTTAAAACAAGTCAATTCTTGAGTGTGGGTGAGAAAATAAGGTAAAATCTAGTGTTGTGGGATGATGGAGCCTCCAAATATCACAGATTTAAAAAAGTCAGACTCTTTATTGAACCATTTTCTATAAAAATCTCAAGATCCAAAAAATTTATATTGGAAGGACTAATTTCATATGTTAGTTTAATCTTCCATGAGTTATCATCAAGGGAATCGATAAAACTTAACAAGATTCCGAACTGCCTTTCCATATAATAAAAATATTGTCAATGTAGCGCTTATAGAGGACCAGATTTGCCCCAATGTCAGATCTGGAAAAAACATTCCATTTTTCCCAGTAAGACATAAATAAATTAGCATAACTTGGGGCAAATTATCTATCTCACAGGTAGGGGCATATTTAAACCCTTTTGTTAAAACCTGTTCATTAACTGGTGTTAAAAAAAATTCTGATAAATTAAAAATCCTAATTTGTTGTTCCTTATTTACATGGAATATTAAACTAACATATGAAATTAGTCCTTCCAATATCAATTTTTTGGATCTTGAGAATTTTATAGAAAATGGTTCAATAAAGAGTCTGACTTTTTTTAAATCTGTTGCTGCTAATAGTTTTATCGATTTTAGTAGTTGCCATTTTAAACCATGGTTATCCAATATACCGAAAGGACAATTTTTAAGGCTCAAAAGAAAATGTACAGAAGAACGAGATTTTGATGACCAAGCAAAGATTTAAAAAAAAAATTTTTTAGAGAAAGGGTGCGATAAATGATTTCTTGATAAAACATATGAACAAATAAAGAAAGAAAATAGGTTAGAATTGCTAAAATATAAAGATAACAAAGTCAATAAACAAGTACAAGAAAATATCCCTTAAATTTTTTATTTTAATTCCAAAATTCATAATCTACGTAAAATTATTAACAAAAATGGCATGTCTTAAACACAGATGATGAGATTCGACCATATATAGGAGATAAACCTAGGCTTATTTTTAGGGGAGCTAGAAATTTTAAACAAATTTTAACGCATAGCTTCCTAGATAAAGAAAATAATTTTTTTAAAGAACAAAAGGGATTTTTTATTGTGGAAATTGCAGAGGGTGCAAAATAAGAACTAGTAATAATAAAAGAGGTTTTAAATTCACCTCTTTTAACACTAAAAAAGAATATGAGATTAATCACTTTATTACTAGAGATGTCGCGAACCGTCTGCGAACTTCTCGCAAACGGTTTGCCGCGTTTCGCGGTGAACTCCGGTCAGCTGACACATCCCGGCCAATCTCCAGCAGACCCTCCCTCCCAGACCCTCCCACCTCCTGGACAGCATCCATGTTGAAGCTGCCTTGTCGTTTAGTCACCTGTAGTCCACACAGAAACAGGCCGTGCCTATTCAGTACTAAGACTACAGGTGAGGCTCAGAGACTCTGAGTGTTCGATGACCCCTAAGTGGATCATCTCATTTATCTCTTTCTGCATTCTTTCCCGCATGGCCTTTGGGATGTGGCATAGAGGTTGGCATAGTGGGGCCT